CACCAACACCCAACGCGACAACACAGGTTCCACCCTTGGTGCATCGAACCTTTTGCGGCGAATGCCTCCCGAAGCAAACCACAAAGAACTTCCCATGTTCAGAAGGGGTGCAAGGTCCCAAAATCTGCACCCGATCTGATTCCCGCATTGACCGACCTGTGCCAGGAAGGTTGGATTAACAGCTTCTGCCTTGTGGGTGTTCTATGAAAGGGCTCATAAGTAAGTGCAACTGATTGGCCCCTAGCTGCCCTAGCTCTGAGATGTTCAGTGAGATTCAGTGAGCCTGGATGGTGATGACCTCTCGTGGCATCTCGCAGTCATGGCTGGCACGCGCCCATGGGATTCCGTCTGAAACCGAATCTTCTGAACAAGAAAATCATGCTGCAGTCAGATCACTGCAGGAAGATCAGGAAGTTTAAAGCAACATGCTTTTGGGTTGCCTGTAACGGTGGTATACATGTAGGTAAAAAATACGATTGTGGCTGACACTTGCAGTAGCTGCGGAATCTCAGGATCAAAAGGCCGAGAAAGGTTGATTGGTCTATCATCGGTTTGCTACGAAAGAGAATCATCAAAGCACGCGCAACTTCTCCATGGTCCACGCGGTCCTTTTCATCTTGGCTGTTGCAGCAGCTCTGCAGCATGTTCCGTGTACATTCCCAGCGTGAAACCATAGCTACCTACAGATATTTCTCCGGAATAGCTCTGAAGCCTCAAGCCCGTAAGCCAAATGGCACGTTTCAAGACAATCAATCCATCAAAGGGACTAAAAGAACCCTGAAATTATCTTATCAAAAGAAACTAGCAGTTTCATGTCATGGCTGCAAATCGTTGCAAGCCAGTGCGTTCAACATTCTGGAGCTTCCGAGGGCAGAACTCTTCAACATATCCCATCTCCATCATTTCGTCCCATGCTCTCCGGACGTCGTCCAGAAATGTGTCATCCAAAAGCACACGGTTGTTCCTAGTCAATGGTCTAAATCGAAAGTATCTTTGAACTTATCTTGATCGATGCACAAGGGCAAAATGGGGCCTCTCATCGAGTATCGGCCGAGACGCTTCAGATTAGCCAAGGCAGCAAAGTTCTTCAAGTCTCTAATTGCCACATCATAGCTATGGCCTCCGTCAATAAAAATCAGCTCGCACCTGGAGACAGCAATCAACAAAGTCCACCAAGCACCAGAATAACAGAACGCACGTATCCTGCAGTTTCTTTCCTCTAGGGCTATGGCTTTACATCTGGGTTGTGTCGATGGAACTCAGGAACTGTCGCCAAAGAGTCGCCCCAGGTCATATTCAAGCGCCTCAGGAACTGTCGCCAAAAGTTTGTTGGACATATGTAGATTCCATATGATATGTGCAATTACATTTACATATACATATATGCAATTCTTCTGTATCATATAGCTATGTTAATATAAATATAGCATAATAGCATATATGTATATGCGTGTGATGCAAGTAGGCATTCCCTCGCCCCCCCCAAAAAAAACAATACAGTAGTTCAAAACTTGCGATCATTCCATCAAGCATCCCAGGAAATCGGTTTGATAGCCACATCGCCGCTGGTCGCGCATACGGGTGATCCCCCAAATCAAAGGAGTAGACCTGTGAGTGAGTTGGGACACAAAGCATGCGTCATGCAAACTTGGTGGAGCAAATGGCAATGTTGCAAGGTTCACTCTATCGATACAAATTGCCTTACCCATCACTTGGGCTCAAATTTAAGGTGTTCGCCTGCGCTTTGGTCCGCAGCAACCATCTTAGGGCGCTGTGACCAGCATTGAAGCCAACCTCGCAAACCGTCTTGATCGAAGCATCGGATGCGATCCTTGGTGCGCAAAATGCTCGGCTTCTAAACGCGCTTTGCGGCACTTAGCTTTCCTTCCATTCAGACGTGTTGCGCGTTCATCACTTCCACAGCCTCCGGCACCATGTTGCTGTGACCTGGACACCCACAAGTCAGTCGTGCCACTTTCATGATGCTCCAGCCTTCAATCTCCCGATCAGGATGCCATATGTGCGAAATAGAGCCCTTTGGCAGCGGCTTGTCTGTGAGTCGCATGGACCACGCGACCACGGAGTCTAAACCTGGACAAACTGGCCGGACCCACCACAACAACAGCTGGAGTTGTGGCATGCCCTACTTACAGTAGAAGCATAGCACTGCTAGGTCTCAAACTTTCTGTTAGGACCTCTTCCTCTTCGTTCTTTTCGCTGGACTTCTTTGGTCTCGATGCCAGTGGTGGTGAGAGGCAGAAACCACCTCAAGGCCGCAAGGCCGAGTGGGTGGCAGGATGGGTCAGATTGCAAAAACGCTCGAACCCATTCATCACAGTCCCGACCAAGAAACGCAGGCTCCTTGTTGCTGCAAATAGCCTCTCCGCCATCTCCTCTCATGTAGAGGGAACTCAACAACACCGAATCAGTGAATCAGCATGCCTCACCTCAATATGAACGGAAACCTTCGGTGTGTGTGTGTGTGTGGTCTTACTTTCAAGTCAATCAACCTCCACGAGGTGCCCTGCCGAAATGGGGTCAAACAAGTTGGCCTCGCCAAACTGCGTGGAAGATAGGCGGCCAACCAGCTGGCAGTCAAGGCGCCAGCGCAAAGGTGTGCAGGTCCTATCGATAGATGTCAATCAGAGGTATTCAACTGCCTATATATTATACTTCTCTATGTTCAGAACCTTTGAGTCTGCGGAATCGGTCCTTAAAGCTTTCTTTGCTCCAGCACCGGAGATTAAGTAGGCTGGGCCCAATCGATACCTCTCCAGTGACTCCAGAAACTCCAGTGGCTTGACATCCGGGTAGAAGCGACATGCTATCAAGTTGCCACGGATAGAGACGCCGGAGCCCAGGTCCTATCTCATGATCCCGGAACTGTGCTAACTCCTTGGTGGATCAATGGGCTGATGATGAAGATGTGGCTTTTCAATTTGTTTTTCAGACAACATTCTGGAAGCTAGTGCTGCAAGGTGTCGGGGTCAGGAGTGCCCAACAAATCCTCCCCACCTAAACAAACCAAGTCCCAATCTTTGGGAACAGCCTCCAGGCGATCTTCCAACCTGAAATGTCTTGGGATGGAGAGCTAGGGAATCGGGAATGTTGCCTGAGCCAAGGCAGCTGGGTGCGTGACAACTCAGTTGTGACTCCAAATGGGAACTTGCAATTGTCTTCCACCACGAGGAATGCATCGGATGCCGCACCGGCTTCCTTCTCTATATCAGCCCAAACCTATCCCAATCACAGGAATCTACCACCTACCAGGCCACCAGTATTGCCTTTTGAATTTTGATGGACGTTGATGTTGCTCCTTCCTCACGCCTGCAGCTGCGACAACGCCTGTCCCAAGCTGCCACGTGTAAGATCTAGCTCTTGAAGCCATCCTGCCAACACATGCTGAAATTTATGGACCATCGGCACCAGAACTGAATAGAACTGAGGTTTTGCGGCGTCTGCTTTGATCGGCCTCCGTGTTTCTTGCCCGGAGCTTCTCGACCTCTCCGGACATGCCGCCAGCGCTTTGTTTCTCGCCACTTCTGTCGCCACTCATCCTTCACCAGCACACCTGATAGGTCACACGACTCTATAAACAAAGCCTCTCAATTGTCAATGCCATGAAACAGAACGTCAAGAGTCAAGACATTGGCAGCATGAAACAGTCTAGCAATGTTGGCACTTTCCCGCCCCAGCGGCGGGGCAGTGCTGCGGGTTCCACGACACCAGAGTCCACGATGTCCAGCACATCATCCTTCACAGCTTGAGAAAATGAAATCAGCCAAAGGCCTCTTTGTGCCAAGTTATTTCGAAACACTTGCAGCCTGCAAATCAAAGCCATCCACTGCAGCCCACTGCCGCACTGGGACCTCAAACAAAGCAATTGATGGTGTTGCCAAATCTCCAAGCATCATTACTCCAACACCTGAACTGGTGCGTTTGTGTGCGCGCGCGCTGTTTTACCTTTCATGTGTCAATTGATTAAACATTTAACCACCTATCAAATCCTATGAACCAGCTTCTTTCGAGAGGCTCCTGGGCTGAGCTTCTCCAAGGTTTTCTGGAGGTACTTCACTGGGCGATGGCGACGGATCAAATACACAGATCTCACATTCTGAAGCCTGAAGGCTTCGCTGCACCACAGAGGGCCGAAAGCACTAGCAGTGAAGGTGGCGCTCAAGGCTCAAGACTAAGGAGCAGTGAAGTTGTCCCTGAAGAAAAGCCCCGTAACAAGGTCGTCATAGTCCAAACAAAGGCCAATGTAGCCCAGGAAGACCTGACTGTGCAGGATTTGGCACGGCCCAGCGTTTGGGGCTGGGGAGACGTTTGAAAACGTAATAGTAGCAGGCCTCCCGAGCCTCAAGGGCCGCGTGCTCCACACCATGGGATCATGTTAATTCTAGTAGCATCCTTGTTCCTAGTAGTACGGCCAGGAGCGTCCTTGCTCCTAGTAGCGATGCCCTTTGCTCCTAGTAGCGTCCTCTACCCATATGTGTAGTATTGTATAGTCATCCAATTTCTCGCATCCCACGCGTGTTGATTTGTGAGGTTTGACACCTTGATTCAGCTGGCCCCCAAAAGCGGCCCTGCTAAATGTTGATGTTGCTTAATTTTGCATACAACAGGTTTAGAGGGTACTCATCAGAAGTGCGCCGCTACTTCAAAGGTGGTGATTGGTTGACTTTGGTGGCACAGTCTTGTGGGGCATTCTGGTGGGGCACTCTTGCGGCACAGCCTTGTGGAACACTATTCTGTCATGCTGCTGACGAGGCAAGCTTGTGCTGGAGCCACCGCAACTGTGTAACGTCGGAGAGCACGTGCAATGCTTTTTGCTTTTGACATGGTGTTCATCAATCAAGGGCTTGCAATGGCTTAACAAGGCTTACCTGCACACTCGTTGAAACCCTAGCTTGCAGAATGCCACTGCACAAGCTACATCAAACTCCTGGCACTTCGAATGCTTTCGGCCTCACGGGTAGGTCGAATTCCGAGCCCTCCACTGACATCCACCAAGCTGGCGGATCAGTTCAGCCACGCCATGGCGTGGACCCATCATCAGCGCCGTGCCAGTGTCCATGGCCACCTCTTCTCTGCTTTCCATCTCAAGGCCAGGAGCTACTAGTAGCGTCCTTGCTCCTCGTAGCGATGCCTTTGCTCCTAGTAGCGATGCCCTTTGCTCCTAGTAGCGTCCTTGCTAGGAATGATTCCATAAGCAAATGTTCTTACACCCAACGGTGAGGCATGGCACGGGAACAACATTGGCATGCCTTGGCATGCCTTGGTCCACACAGACTGACTGGATCCTACGCTGCTGCCTGACAACGGGGCTTAGATCGGAAGTCATCGCACAAATGAAGAGGCTTGTCTCTAACCTGAGCACCAAGGATTGCAAACAATCTCACCCGCAAAACACTTGTTCGGAAGAGTCCTGCAAGCCCCATAACCAGTTTCTCAGATCCTTGCATAGATATCCCGCATTGTCACCTTGCACAACACATACAGTGCCTCTGATGTCTTCTACTTGTGATGTACTGTCATCCAATCGATGTCATGTTCCCTCAGTTCTCGGCCAACCAGTAGCCCTTTTCTTCTGCTTCGTTTTTTGGCACCTGAGAAGCACCCACCAGGAGACAGGAGGAAGGAACACATGAGGCCGTCGCCGGTGTCGCCAGTGCGACATGATATGTGAGTGGTCGGCTGACTGAGGAAAGGACGGGCAACCATGTGACCGCCCCCTCCAAACGCTCCCGCCGATACCTGACACATCAGGATCATTAGGTGCACCCACATTGCCAATAGAGTCGGCTCAAGCATGGAGAAAATCAAATCAGCGCCAACTGACAGGTTCAAAAATGATCCAATCAAAACAAATGAGGACTCAACCCCCCAAAAGTAATCTCGCTGTCTTCATCAGCCTTGGGCAAGTTGGAACTACGACAGCTTCATGATCCCAAGAGCGTTCGCGCTGAGCTTCCAGCATCCAAACTTCTGAGGAAGAATGCGAACGTGGGGTTTCCAATCACTTCATTGGCAGCCTGACATTGTGTCAAATCTGAACCCAGTCTTAGAGTGCTTCGCGTGCCAAAACTGAGGGACACACCACCAAGCGGTTCACAAAGTTGAATGAAGGGCCAGCCTTCAGTCTGCAATGATTTGATTTCCGCTGGACACAAAAGAAATAAACAACAAAGCACCCTACCGGTCCAGTCACACAAACTGGGAGCGTACGGACAAACCGCCCAACCCGAGGCCAAAAATTCCGTCGAAGGGAAGCTCGGTGAAGGGAAAGCGAGACTCCTCGAGCAACAGGTGGTCAATTAGTTTGCTGCTTGATGTGGAATAGATATTATGGCAACGAGCCTGAGTCACGCCTAAGAAGTCCACTTTCAAACCTGAGTCGTCCCTTGAGCACTTGTACCAATGGGTGTAAAAGTCTGAGTTTGTCACAAGCCGGATTTGATGCAGCTCCAGAACCTGGCAGAAACCAAACCAACACTGTTAACCAAAACAGGACATGCGGGAAATCAAATGCTGTTGCTATTGTATGCATTCCCTTCTGTTCTATGCAGCGGTGTTAAGACTCAAAGGGATACAAACAGTGATTATGCTCGGGCAATATAATATAGTATGCAAAAGCCTCTGCTCAATGGCCTTGTTTCAGGCACAGCATGTCCTGGATGTACTCCCCTGTTAGCTTTCCAGTACCTTCAGCAGCAGGGCTTCCCGCGCAATGCACATGCTTGTCTAGCAAGATCATATCATCTGGCTTGCTGAGGGCATGGTTGTGCTTCAATGACTTAGACCTGCACCATAGGTAATGGTGGTAGTATCGCGGTCCTGCAGCTGTGAGGTTGTGGCACCCAATCTAGCATTGCTGATTGGCTGATACGCATCTGTCCCTAAAACGATCCACCCTGGTCGTCTTGATCCAACTCATCCACCAAGCACATCAAAAAACTATATATGCAAAATGGCAAGTGCATGCAAGTGCGCATCAGGTGCTGGCGAACCCTACAAACTGGCATGAGGGCGCATGACTTTAGCTGCACCCAGTTCTGGTTGCTACAAATCGATTTCGCCCAGCACTCTTGCCGGTCCAGCCCCGGCTGCAAAGGTGTACCATCCTCGAGGGCCAGCTGCAGTGAGGAACCTCGGCTGAGCTTAACAACCATGCCATGTGCAGGCAATGCAGTTGCACCAGTGGCTACGACCTCCAGAGCCACAACCCACGAAGCTTTCAACATGGTTCGCTGCATTTTTCATGTGGATGTCGTCAGAACATTTTGCCCCAAACTGAAGACAAGGAACAATCGATTAAGCAGTCGGTCACTAGAAGCGTGCACTCCAACCAACCCTTAAACATCCTTAAACCTTACGCATCCGTTTGACCAACTGCTTCTGCCCAGCCCACTTTGAAGCTGAGCTAGTGTCCTACAGTAAACTTGGAAACTAGACCGGCTTTGCCATGACATGTTTGATGTGGGTAAAGCTTATGGCCTCTGCAAACCACAGAGTCTGATTTCGATTGATCAGGGCGTTCAGCGCTCACCAGTCATCACGATCAGGTTTTGCTCGTGTCCTCGGACAAAACAATTGTGGCACAGCTTTTCTCAGAACAAGATCGTGGCCTTTAGACAATTGAGCAACACCGGCATTCGAGATCTGAGTGGACAGGGAAGTAAATAGTGGATGCGAGATGCAGGCTTTTCATTGCATATTGGTTACCGGGCTGGTAGTTAGTTAGGTTGCACACACAGGTCAACAGTCAACACCCCACACATTGTGGACAATTCAATGGCAATGCGACCAGGCTGCTTCTGCTCGGCTTCCTTACGGCGCCGCTCGTACAGCTTACGTTTCTCAATGAAAGGATCTCCAAATGGCCAATACCTCACGCAAATAACTTGAAACTCCAAGCCGTGAAAAGCACAGCTGATGAATCAGCAGTTGCATTCTGAGGTCAGCGCTTGAACCGCTCGGGAAAATATTTCCTCGATTTGATGCGGCAATTGTGGCCACCATATCATGATTATCATGCAAATTCAAGGGAAATGGAGCATGTAACACCAGCAAACTTGCTGCTGCCAAGAATCCGCTCGACTTCTTCCCTCAAAGATTTTTCTTCTCGATCTGACTCGCTGTCCTCTTTGTCCTCTTTCTTCTTGAGATCTGCCCCATCATTGTACGCATGCCGCTTTGCTGGATCTGATAGTGTCTCGTATGCATGAGCAATTCTCTGGAAATCACGGGTCGATCCACCTTGCTTGTCGGGATGATATTTTAGGCTCATCAAGCGGTAGGCCCGCTTCAGCTGCTGATCTGTGGCATCGGATGACACACCAAGAATGGAATACAGGTCTGATCCTGAAAGCTCTGGTGCCCCATCACAACTTTCCCTCTGCTGCCCTTCATGTCCTCGTTTGTCGGTCTTCTTCCAACTAGGGCGATATCGATCATCTTTCTCCATGCGTTTGGCTTGGGCATGTGCTCGGACCAGCCAATCGCACAGGTTGGGCCACTTGCGATCGACCCGAAGCAAGGTCTCTAGGCTCTTGATGGCCTCCTTGGGCCTCCCGGCCTCCAGAAGGCACGCAGCCCGTCGAAAGAGTGCTCTAGCATATCTTGGAAAAAGATTCAAGGCCAAGTCGCAATCATCGATGGCTTGTCGGAACTCTCGGGCACGGCGATGACAGGCAGCACGCGCAGCATGGAGCGTAGCCCTGCCCCACTTGTCGTCTGTGGGGCAGCTCAACAATGCATCTCCATAGCGCAACGCAGCCGTAGCAAAGTCGCCATAGGCATAAGCATCTTCAGCAGCAAGCTTGCACCTTTCAACTGCGGCAAAGGATTGCACACGAATTGATGCTCCTTGGTGCCCCCAGGTGTGATCTGTGCCCGATGTAGCATCCAAAGCTGTGGACAGGTATTTCAAGCCCTGCTCACGGCGGCCGACACGCAACAAGCTACGTCCTGCATAAAGAAGGCTGGCTGCATTACCTGGATGTCGTCTAACACATGCCTCAGCTTCCAACACCGCTTGCGGCTCCTGCCGGCACCTCAGGAGTGCACGTACCAATGTGAGGCGCAAACGCAGTGCATCTGGCCCTTCACATGGTAGCTTTGCCAAGGTGGACGATGGCAAGGGCCACTGAAGGCCGACCTCTCCAGCCTGGCGCCGGTGCTCATCATTTAGAAGCTGCCGCAGGGCCGACAGACCGGACTCAGCAATCTTGATAGACTGGCAATTGGCCGCGTTCATTGCGGCTTCAGCTGCCCTTCGGCCCAAAAGCCCTTGCTCCACTAAGGCGTGCGGAGGATAAACTTCTCCATTTGGAGTTTTGGATTTGATGGCACTAGCAAGCTTGTCAAAAGCCTGCTGGGACTCAAGTAATGCATCGGGAGCCTCTGGAAGATCTCTCTGTGCAGACCTCAAGGCAGCCGCAAGAACTTCAGTGGGGTCTAGTGAGTTTAGCAGTGAATTGTCCTCCTGCTTGCCCAGGCCCAGTAAGGGCGTGCTCAAACCTAGCACCCTGGCACTGTACTCAATCTCTGTTTCCTCGGCACCTCTTAAAGGGCGAAGATTGGGCAGCTTTACGGCGAGTTTGCTGCGACACTCCGACAACTGCACCACACATCTGCCATCACCGCCTTCAGCTGGCAGCTTTAGAACAGTACACGGTTTGCCATTTTTGCTTGAATCAAAGAGGCCTTGCAAAATGCAAGGGTACCCCACAGCAAGCAAGTCCTTATTGTGGCTGCGACTTCCCGCTCCTTCTTCCTGATCTTCAAAGGCTCTGATGTCGACTTTCGCCTCTGTTTCTCCCTCCTGCCAAGGGGTTAACCTGAACACAATTCTGCACTACACAAACAAACAGCAAATATACAAATTGTTCAAAGACCTTCGCAGTTTGTGCTGTGGTGGCAGCATGTAGTGGCTAATATGATGCTAGTAGACAGGAATCCTTCCAATAAATTATATAGTGAAACGTTTTGGCCCATCTCCTCGGGTGCTTGGAAATCCGGTGCTTGCAATCGCGGCTCAAAAGGTCGATCAAACTTGTCTGCCAATGGATCTTCAGGCGGAGCAGTGGCACTGCCCATGTCCGAATCACGAACTGCCTCCAGCAATGGCTTACCATCACGGTGCACGCAAACCCATTGAGCATCATCGTCATCAGCTTCATCGGCTCTGGCCAAACGAAGCCACGCTCCATCCCTCTCCACACCGCACACATATTGGCCCAAATCCAGCTGACCGCAAGACTTGGCAAAGGGTCTTGGGTGAGCTCGCACTACTGCACCTGCACAACCAGTGGTGACAGCCCATCTGAGCATCCTACCCCAAAACAAAGAATCACACAAATATGTAGTAGATATATTATACATATTATATACCTAAAGAGGACCAAGAAACATCAGACAGCATCAAGAAACATCAAGGACCACATCCCAACCCCGTCGCAGCATGTCCTAGCCTGCTGGAGCGACCACACGGTAAATCCAGCAGCGAGGCTGTTGGCAGCAGAATTCGAGGCTGTGAGGCCCAGGTTTCGGCAGGTTTGCTCCAGCCCTTGCAGCTGCCACCGTTCTCTCATAGCGACGATAGCTGTAGCGCAAGTCCCGAATCACGCTGTGATCCAATACTGCAATCACCTCTTCGGCAGCTCCCACATAATAAACCAGCACAAATAGAGATATAAAACAGCCAAGACATGCCAAGACTATATAACAAGATGGACAATAGCACGAGCTCTGAACTCAAACGACGGAACAGTGTGAACCGTATGCAGTATGCACGACATACCAACCAAAACTCAATGCGGTGTTTAAATGAAATGTGAAGCGTTAGAACTATGGCCTGCCACGGCAGTTCATCCTCGTCATCCTTAACTGGCTCCATGATGGCATTCATCTCAGAGGCAGGAGGCTCTTGAGAGATTCTTGGCTTATCATCATCCTCATTCTCGTCCGCCGTCTCAAAATCTGCATCATCCTCCAACCCAAGAGCTCTGAAAGGCTGAATGTGCCCAAAAAAAGGAGGGAGAGAGAGAGAGGGAGAGCGAGAGAGCGGGGGGGAGAGAGGAAGAGAGGGAGAGAGGAAGAGAGGGAGAGAGGGAGAGAGGGAGAGAGGGAGAGAAGAGGAAGAGGAAGAGGGAGAGGGAGAGTGGTGTCGATTGTAGATAGAGAAGAGCTCAACTCGCACAGGGCCAAACCATTTCCCGTCCGAAGTGCACAAAAACCTAACTTACAATCAAAGCCTCATGAAGAAGCGACACTTCATATGGTTTTTGAGTCGGGGAAGTGATAAGTCTGGAGCAGGACCGTACAAGTTTCCCAAGTCCTCCAGGCACTCATGCCAATATAGTTGAGGAAGACTCTTCACCTCACCCAGCTTCTGATGACTGACGTGTTCCCTGTGAAGGTGCCACCAACGCAAACCAGCACCAGGAATGATCGTGTCTCCCTTGTGGGCGAAGCGTTCTCGCCCCAAGGGATCGACAAATGTCCACTCGAATCTTTCAGAGTAGTCATCTGAGTCTGATGAAGAATCTGAGAGCACCCCAGCTGGAAGCCTCGAACGGTCTAGTCGCCGCTTGAGCCTTGACTTCTTGGGTTCTGGAGGGGCCTTCATCAAAGCCATGATCCAGCCACTGCTGTCATTGCGATAGGCAATCTGAGTTTTCCGTCTCAAACCCAGCCCTTCTGCACGTGCGGCTGCGTAGATGCCGTTCATATCATCCACGCTTGAACCCGCAATGAAGAAGCCTTTGGCGGGTTCCCGAACTGTCACATAACCCCTACTTCGAGGCCGAGATCCGCCCCCAGAATACGGCGCCAAGGCATCTTGTCGTGCCAGGTGCATGGCTGCAAATCTCGCACAGTTTGCGGCAAAATGATGTGTAGAATTTGAAACTCCCACCTCACGTGTTTGTTGCGCGTTTGTCACTACACATGCGGGTGTTTCACTCCTTTCACTTGGGCCGAAATACTACCATCTGCAGGTCCAGCATGGCAAGACCAAGGACGCAGACCCGCCCATCCTCTGCAATATGCACTTCTCGCAGCAGCCTGTTGATGCAAAACATGCCCTTGCCCTGACAGAATCGCAGCACCTCAAGCCTGAGGCCTAGCTTCCCAAAGAGTGTTTGCCCTCTCAGCGATCAACGTGAAGCCCCACTAGAAAAACGGTGATGGTCCTCACAAGCCTGCGTCAAAAATCAACTGGTGGTCCAACCTGCCTGTCGCTCTTGTTGTTTTGTGCTGGGTTCGGTTGACTGGTCACTACACCAGCCTCGTCTGAGCACTTCAGTGTTGGAAGTACCTTTAATCATGCCAGGATCCCAATTCAAACGCCACTGGGCACAAGGCGCACAATGTTTCCAGACCCGGTGTCAAAAACGACGTCAAAGTCCTGCGGCATGGTTGGAACACTCAGCCCACTCACTGAGTTTGAAAGAACAATATGCCTGACAAGCAGTTCAAAATACAGTACAGTCAGTACAGTGTATATACAGATATATATACACATGAAAGTACAGTTGCACCAGGACCACCTGCAAAACATGAGGTCTCAAGTTGCCCGGCCTGGGGTGGAGTGCCCATGGATACAGAACCATAATACTCGCTGACTCGTAGCCTTGATGGTTCAAACAAAATCCTGAAGGAATACATATATTATATACGGTATATAGATCACCATGACACGGACCCAAGGCTCGAGCGGCAAGTGGTTCTTGCCATCTTGCATGGGCCTTTCGTACAATGAGACGTACCTGGAAGTGGTGAAGTAGGCATGCTAGATGTATGGAAAACGTCAACACCATCACCGCTGAGACTTGGTTTGCAAAGAATCGAGGGCACTCCTGCAGTGGAACAGTCAAAGTGCCCTGTGGCAAAAACCGGCATTGATTTGAATCAACCAACATCAATCAACCATACCACGCATACTATGAGCAGGTTCATTTTCAAAGTGTTTCAACAGCAAACCTGCACAAGTGCTTGTGCAAAGAGTTTTGGCGACACAAACCTCAGTTTTCTTGGACAAGCAACGCAGCAACGACATCCAAGAATGAAAAACTGTCGGTGACTTGGAAGCTCACACCAGCGCGCTCAGCGTTGACAGTGGGACCCTGCTCAATATTTCAACACACTGACACAATAACAGCTCACAAAAACCATTCATCCAGCCTTCCTATTCGTTTGCTTTGGGCCGGGTTCTCGGCCATCTCCTGAACCCAACCACAACCAAAACATCATCAGTCCAGCATGCAACTGGCAAAATAAAACACAATCCTGCCTACGGCGCGCGGAAATGCGCTCTAGAGAAAAGGCACATCACATTGGATAAAATTGCCTGGGGGCTGCGCGCTCCCAAAATTTTGAGCCAATGTCTTACATTGTCATGGGCATTGGTGACGAGGTCTCGGTGCTCCAGACTTAGCAGGATTGACAGCTGCTTGTTGGAGTGAAGGGCCAAAAAATAGGTCAAATTACTCTTCTGTACATGTCCTAATTTGTATGCCGTGTTTTATCCAGCCATACCCTGCGCCGACCGGTTCGGACATGCTTGGTGCAAGACGTTGGCACATCCAAGAAACGGGTTGAAAAGGATCTTCTTAATGCAGCTGCATACACTCGTTCATGATGTTTCATCATCATTGCGCTCATCAAAGTTGTGATAACGATGAGTTGCTCAAGCACATTCAAGTACAATTGCTTTAATGTGATGCAGCCAGGTTTGTCTAGGTTTCCCGGCTCGCTTGTATGCCGTGCGCCTTCGCCAAATTATCTGGACAAAAGGCTGGGTCCCACACGGCGCATGGAGCAAAAACCGATCTAAACACCGAGAACGGTGGCCAATCTGAACATGACATGTCAGATGTTGATCGACGAGCGTTCATGGCCATATGGGTTTCAAGGGCCCCTTGACAAGCCATTGACATGGCATAGGGCTGCCTCGGTGCCACTTGCTCAAAATTGTCCTTGGTGGTGCGGTTTCCTGGTCTTTGACCTTGTCCTGGTGTATTTCTTCACGGTCCTCCCTGGGTTAACCACGTTGAGGCGTTGAGGTTCTGAAGGGTGCATCAACATCATGACCGTCAAAACAACGATGGCCGACAAGAACAACGGCACAGTCCCTCAATGGGACGGAAGCGGCGAAAAGTGGCATGGTGGGTACAGTCTGCGCCTCGCCACAAACGCCGCTACTGTGCACACAAACTGGTTGGAAAGCTCACAGCGCATGTCGTGGCCATGTCCTGGCCATTGGCACAATTTGACACCAATGATGGAACGCAAGATCTTTTGAGGAGATTGCCTCTCTCACCTCTAGTGAAGCAACCGCTGCCGAATACAGCTGCGATAGGTGCGCAATCTTTCAATTTCCGTCGACTACCTCATGAGACCCTCGGCTAGAGCGAGTTCGGTGAAGCCTTGGCTCAACTGCGAGAAGGGCAACTTTGCATCTCTCAAGGCATCCAAAGTGGTTCGCTCCTCTGAAGATGACTACGGCCAATCGAAAAGAGCTCTGGCTGGGTTTGGCGCCACGAAGTTTGGAGCCCAGGCCATCGTGAAGGTGATCTCAACCTGCTGGACAAAGTGGTGGCGATGATTGGGAACACCCAGATCAAGCAGCACCGGGCCAATCACGTTTCCGGAGTCGGCGCTCAATTAGGTTGCCTGCGCCTGGCTCACGGGTGTTTGGAGTGACTGTCAGTGAACCCTCTGGGCTGCGTTCTCAGAGGTTTCTACAAGGTGCTGGTCTATCACCTAAAGAGTAATGAAACATGTTGTTTACGACCCCAAACAAGATGGACTATGGCTCCATTAGCAATGCACTTCAAAGGCTCTGGGACGATCAACGCCTTGGACGACACCAAGCACATGCTCCTCCCCATCAATTGCAAGTTCATGAACAAGATGACGGCGACCGGGATGCCTCCTGTTGGGGCGAAAGCTGGTCCGATGATCGGTATAAAGGTGGGCACGCAGAACAGCCCACTGAGGACTCGAGTTGGGCTGATGCCAATGACGCTTTGCTGAGGTCGACGAAATTGTTCTTGACCCTGAAGCTGAGGCCAAACTTCACGAAACTCAACAAGCCGAACATGTTGCTGAGCTGATGGCAGCTGAGGCCACCCGCACCTGGGCTGAAGCAAAGCGTGCGACAGCAGCGTTGCACAAAGATCGCGGCTTTGGAACGATCAAAGCGACTAGGAGCCGCGGTGCCAAGGCGAGGACATCCGGCAGCATGCCGTCCGTGGCCAAGGCGGCTGGCAGAGAAAGGGCCTGCCACGGCAGCCTCAGCAAGGTGGAAGCTACCGCCCGCTGCTGAAAGCCCCCACCAACGTCGGTGCCACCCTGCCTGGGCTGCGACGCGCGCCGCCGGCGCGCACCGCCGGCGGGGCGCGCGGAGCTCGAAGGCGGGCAGTGTGCGGATATAGGCCAGGCACTCCGCCCCCCAACGGCGGCGCGGGCGCCAGGTGTTCCGGAGGAAAAGGTATTCTGTGGCCGAGTAGTGCCGGAAGTGGCCGGGCGCGAGCCTGAGCCTGGCGTTGACGGACTTGCCAACCCCCGCGCTCACGCCGAGCTTGGCGCCTTGGTGGTGGCGCAGGTGTTGGTGGGGCAGGCGGGCTGCGGCTGCGTCGGCGCGGCGAACGGCGCCGGGTGGGACTGGAGCTGGCGTTGCTGGCGCTGGCAGAGCCCGACCCACGGTCCGGCGTTGGCGCCAGGGGTGTTGGAGTCTCCGCTGGAGGCGCCGGAGGGTGGCGCCAAACCCACCCGTCCTCGGCAGGGGCCCGGGGAGCGGGTTCGAGGCGGCCGCCAAAGAAGGCCAAGTCGGCGCCGACACAGAGCAGGCAGGGGTCCATGCGGACGGCGCGGGCCGGCTACACGGAGGCACAAGGCGGGCACGGCAGAACGCTTGAGCCTTGAGCCAAAATGGTTTGAACCAAAATGGCATAAGGGTTGGACACGGACCTTTAAAGGCAGGACCAATCTTGCCCTGCCCATTTTTTCGTCGTCGACCCTTAGCGATCGTGAAGGCATTGTCGATTGCGGTGCAACGACATCCGCTGCGCCTGACATGGCGGGATCTGATCAAGGCCGGGTGCAGGCATGATGATCGACTTTGCCACCGGAATGGCCATCTCCACCAAAATGACCATCAACACAACTGAGGTGAACCCAAATCATCCAAATCCGTATCCACTATTATCCACTCAGGAAAAACCACATTCATCTTCCTCGACAAATTACATCAACAGCTATCACATCTACGAGCCCTACACTTAGCGTCTTCGAGACCTTCAACGACGTCATTGGCCGAGGAAGATATGGTTCTCCTTGCCATATACGAAATGGTGCCGCTTCAGCAACTTGAACTACAGCGCACCTTAAAAAAGGGAGATGCTGGAAAATGCCAGACGCCGGGATGCTACACCCGGCCAAGAACTTCATCCTGGATGCACTTGACTATGACCCGGACTTTGGCAACCTACTGGGAGTGTCCATGTTCAGGTTGGAAACAACCGCTTGTGATGGAACTATGTGCTGGACTGCTTCATCGTGAATTTAACTGGCTAGTCGGATTGATGGATGCTGCTACAGCATGAAAGATGATAAGGAACAACGGTTTCTGCAAAAGAAGTGGCTGATCCGGACCACCGACCCGCAGTTCCACCAGATTTTCCATGCCAAACGCTGCCAAGGAAGCAGGATGAAGACCGCGAAACCTCCAGACAAGCATACTATCCTCTCAAGATGGTAACTTTGACGGTCAATGGTTTCGTGCTTGCACTACGTTTCCGCTTGCACGAATGTGCGCGACAATGACTTCGCCTATGAGGACATGAACTGTGTCCGGCGACTCAAGCCTCTGCAAGGTCCAATGAAGTTTTCCGCTTGCGGGCATCTTCAAGAACTACTTTGCCTTTTGGCTTTTGGCCTGCACGCCGGTTGGCGGGCCCACTTTGGGCACAGGCGCGGTTGACAAAGTGAAACCGTAAAAGTTGCTAAGATAAGCAGAAAAATGTGAAGTCGTCCCTGTGCCGTTGCCATTGGCCAGTGTCCAATGCGGTCCAATTGACCAAATTTTTGTACCGGCAGAATTCTTCCAATTTTGTTGTCCACATGTTTCTGGGGCGTCCCCGACGTGGTCCAGCCGGAGTCCAACGCAAAATTCTTCGCACCCACCGGCTCGCAGGCAATGAAACAATGTGCCGTGCAAGGTTCCATTGTTGTGCGCACCATGTCACTGCCCATGTTGGTATGCCGGCATCCGAAACAAATACACGAACACGCTCGTTCCAACAATGCAAAATGTCATGCCATTCATCTGACCAATCGGTCCATGAAGGTGCACGCAAAGCTTCCGAAAAGTCACGTCGATTTTTTCCAGTTGTTCCCGAAAGCATTGCGAAGGGTTCTTCCGGAAAATCCCTTGAACACTGACACTTCGACGCTTACACTTCCACACTGACACTTCCACCACACTTGCACTACAACACTACAACATGAACGCTATACGTACCCTAGTGTAAGTGGAAGAGCGAAAGCATCCAAGTGCAAAGTATGCAAGTGTAAGTATGCAAGTGTAAGTATGCAAGTGATGAGCATGCAAGCATGCAATGAGTATGCAAGCATGCAATGAGTATGCAAGCATGCAACGAGTTGGCAAGTGTGAGCATGGAAAACTAGTGGAAAACTAGCACGGGAGATGTCCTAATGAAAAACATTTCCCCACTGTATAAATTCCCTCTTAAACGCGGAGGGTGGGACGAACAGCGTCAACCGAAAATGCAACCCTCTGCGGAGATCGTGCGTGTCGAGTGCGCGAAATGAAGGCGAGAGTGCGATTTACCGGCTGCCCGCGCAACCCCCTGCGGAGATCGTGCGTGTCGAGTGCGCGAAAGGCAGGCGAGAGCGCCGGGCGTCCGGTCCGCGCGCAACCCTCTGCGGAGATCGCGCGCGTCGAGTGCGCGAAATGCAGGCGAGAGTGCCGGGCGTCCGGTGCGCGCGCAACCCTCTGCGGAGATCGGGCGTGTCGAGTGCGCGAAATGCAGGCGAGAGTGCGATTCGTCCGGTGCGCGCGCAACCCGCTGCGGAGATCGTGCATGTCGAGTGCGCGAAATGCAGCCGAGAAGGCGATTTGTCCGGTGCGCGCGCAACCCTCTGCGGAGATTGTGCGCGTCGAGTGAACGAAATGCAGGCGAGAGCGCGATGTGTC